TCTTCGCAGCCCTTTTCTTCACAGACCGTAATGGTCAATAACAATCTATCTCTGCCTTCGCACAATTCAGTCTCTCCCAAAGAGCTCTCAGAACATCCAGCTTGTCATACACCAGTTCCCCACCAAGCGGTGCAGAACCAGACAGTTTATCTGTCTGCTCATTTCCCAACACACCGGCATAACCTGTAAAAACTAACTACCAGGGACCTCTGAAGTGATGCTTGCCACTCTGCACGCCTGTCTCCATCTTTGTCAACATGTTCTGTGAGTCAGTTACAATCATGGCATGTGCGTACAGCTGAATCTGAAGCCAGCAGAAGGCAGCAGTGACTGCCTCCACCTCCATTCTCAAAAAAGACGATCAAAACAGACTGAGGGAAATACTGAACCGCTAGGCGATGAAGTCGTCTACCGGCCAGCTAATGTGCGATCCATTCGCCGATGATGATTTACAATTGCTGCAGCGACCCCCATCTTAATGGTGCTGGTTGGCCCTTATCTTCTCAGCTCTGTTCTAAAGCCTCGTGGTCATACATGACCACATGTAACTTAACTTGTATAAACATTTTAAAACGACACACTTATATATGGGGTGCCACTGTGCTGTATCGGCTAAACGCTCACCCGCGGACCTGAAGGTCGTCGGTTCAAATCCCCATGGAGCCGAATTTGTTTCTTCGGTCATGACTTTTTCTCTTAGCTCCACCCAGCCCTACATGGGTACTAGGTAAAGTCCTGGGAAGAAAAGGTGGCCGGCGTAATGTTGACTATATATAACAAATCGAAGTGATTGGTCGATAAAAGTAGGAAGTAACCTAGACTAGTAAGTAACCAATGCACCTCTGGAGTCTAAAGGGACTTTTACTTTACACACGAATACCCACTAAATGTTGGCATCTGTAGCTAAGGCATTGCGAACGCGCTTCGTAATGATGGTATGCCGGTTTCGATCCCAGCTGCAGGCCGTTACGCTGGTTTGAACAGTGGTATCGAGAACCGACTATCCAGAAAGCAATGGCAAACTACTGGACGTAAATTTGCCTATAAAAACCACAACAGTCAACAAATGCTGGGGTTGGTTCTGCAACGTCCTGTAAAGGATACGAGGCAAACTTTTAAACTATTGAATACTTCTAATCAGACGAATGCTAAGAATACAGGTCATCGAAGAACAACAAATGAAGTTTTTTTGGACACCTAACAAGAATGCTCTGGTAGTAACTACCACAGCGAGCCACACTAAAACTTCACAACGGGTATAGAGCAAGTGGAAGACCTCGGAAAAGATACAGTGACGGCATTAAGAACAGCCTTACAGAAATGAGCATCAGTCTTAATAGTGCCGTTGACAGAGCTTGTCAACGAATATTATATCTCCCCCCGACACTTCGATGAGGTATAAGGTGGAAGAGAATAATAAGATGTAGAAATTCTTCTACAAATGGGGTCCAAATGGAACAATGATCTGCAATACAAGACTCTGAATGTCTATTAACCTCTCTTGCTCAAGCCTACCTCACCTTCACGTGGTGGACCCTGTTCTTCCCAGCAATCCAGTTAAAGGTTGGGGTCTCAACCCCCAGCGGGAAACTGGATGGGACAACAAACGAGGTAAAGGCGAAAGACGAAGGGATGAGCCTACTCTCCTTCAGTGTGACCACAGTCTACCCTTGCAAAACAAGGTGCTGAAGTCAGAGGCAACCAGTCAGGAGGCGCATCACAGCAATCAGGATGCCACGCACACACGCCAGGCGAACGATAGAAGAAGAAGAACTTATAAAAAAAAAATAATTAAAATTAAAAATACCTGCAATCATTCTCGTTGATCGTGCAAATATATTTAATCGTTTTAACTAGCTGGTAAATGCGGTGTTTGTTATCTTTGTCGATACCAGCAAATACATCTTTAACTATTTCTTGTATAAGAAATTATATTTCAAAACTGTCATTTGTTTGTGTCAGATGAATTTAATATCGCACTGTCAGGGGAGGCTATGCTGACGATTTTGTTATGGTTCTAATTCTTAGCGTTCACGGCAACGTCAAATCCGGCGGAAATTTCAAGTTGTTCGTCTACTTCTGGACTTTAATCTTGTCCCAGAACTTGAGTTTTGCATGGGTATACGTTTTAGATAGATGGCTTATTTGAATGCAGACTTCTGGGAACTTATCTTTCAGACAGATGCACTTATTTGGTAGTTTCTGCCTTTATTTCTGTTCGTTTCAGTTCAAAAACAATCGAGTTAAATTGTTCTCAACGTCTGTCCTATTCAGCGCCAGCATCTTTTCTTTACCTCTTGGTCCACTGAAACTTGTTTAGTTCTCTCCCAATCCTCACTATTAGTTATTATATTATAGAATTTAATTCCCTCTATTCTGCACAAGCACGAGTTAATGCACGTTTGCAGTTTATTAGTAACTGTTTTAGTTATGTTCCATGTTTCCGCTTGATAAAGCAGTTACCGTACGACTTCTTCTTCAACATGCCGAGTCTTTGAGGTTTATTTATCTCTATGGCTAGTCTTCTCGTTCCAGTTGGTGATACCAATTCTTTGATAGATCTGTCTGGATATTATCTTCCCATAGTCTTCTTGGTCTGGCTCGTGGTCTTCTGTAACTCAGCTCACATTTGTATGTGTCACCTCTCTGTCATCTGGCATTCTCCCAATATGAGAAACAGGAATGAAGAATACAACCCAACATAAATTATAAATGATGAAAAATGCCAACCTTAAAAGAACCTTACACAATTTGAGCAAGGTGGAGTCATTACTTTGAATCATTACTTAGCTGCAGTAAAACAGTTGACAGCAGGGAAGAATATAAAAACAACTAGGAACTAAAGGCAGAGGAATTCGAACCAGGTATACTATTAGAAAAAGTAGAATATGTCATTCATACAACCCCTAGCTAGACTAAAAGCTACAGGTGTTGATGATCTACCTGCTGAAGCCATCATGGCAGCAGGAGAAGCGGGAGCAACATGGTTTGAAAGAATATTTCAGGTGGCATGAGAAAATCAATGAGCACCATCAGATTGGCAAACTGCTGTCATTATCCCACGATGAAAAATTAAAGGAAGTAAGAAGGACTGTACTAATTACAGAGGAGTATCGCTTCTCCTGCACACTGGGAAAAATGTATTCTAAGATCATGGAAAGAAGGCTAAGACCAATAATAAAGTATCAACTTTGAGAAGCACAGATAGGCTTTCGACGCTACAAAAGTTGCACAGATGCCATTTATACATTGAGACAACGATCAGTGAGAGCAATAGAACACAATAAGACACGTTTATCGACATTCATAGACCTAGGAAAAGCCTTGTCGATGTTGGGGGAATGTATGGGGGAAAAAGGAATCTGCAATCATCTAATTAATATGTGCAAAAAGCATGTACACATGTTGTAAATGCTGCATAAGATCGAAATCATGATTGTCAAGAACTTTTATAGTGAACTCTGGTGTGCGTCAGGGCTTTGTACTATCGCCACTTCTTCATATAACATACATAGATAATATATGTGAGGAAACGAACTTTAATCAAATAGAATATATTACATAATTACTATTCTCTGACGACCAGATACTCATAACAGAAAGTACGGAATGCCTACAGAACCATCTAAATAAAAGTAATAACAAAGGGGAGGAATATAATATTAAAATAAATACTACGAAGACACAGACAATGGTGATAGAAAGACAGAAAGACAATTTAGAAATAAAATAAAATGACAACGCCTAAAGTCAAGGAATTCAAGTATTTGGGAGCAATTTTCACATCCGAAGGAAAACTGGACAGAAAAATTAGCTCGAGATGTACCAAAGCTAATCAAGTAATGGGGCAACTATCTTCCCTGTACAGAAGATACCCCAGAGTACTAAAGTGAATCTTATCAGAACTACGTTTTGGTCAACGCTATGTAATCAGTGCCAAACGTGGACACTTACATCCTCTAATTAACGTAAAAGTGTGACAACAGAGAAGAAATACCTTACAAGAGGTGCAGGAGTTTCAATAAAAGACAGAAATCGAAATCACGAAAATAGACGAAAGCTAGGAATATAGTGGATGGAAAACCTAACAAGAATGCCCTGGTACTATCTGCCACAGCGAACCACACTGAAACGTTACAACGGGTATAGAGCGAGCGGAAGACCTCGGAAAACATGTAGTGATGGCATTAGGAACAGCCTTACAAAAATGAACATAAATCCTAATAGTGTTGTTGACAGAGCTCATCAAAGAATGTTACATCTCTCTCTTGACACGTCGATGAGGTACAAGGTGCAAGAGAAAAAGAAAACGTGTACGTGGCAGGAGTTTATATCCTTTCCATGTCTAGTTATTATCATGTATTCTGTCTTATCTTGATTGATATCTAGCCCCATTTTGTGAACTGCTTCTTCTAAGAGAATCATGGTTTTCTCTGTCTGTAGTTCGTTTTCTCCAACAATTGAAATATCATTTGCATAACCAATTATTCTAGTAGTTTCTCCCATAGTACACTCTTTATTAAATTTCCTTATCATTTTCTGCAGGGCCAACTTGAGAAGAAGTTAGGACAAAGCGCTGCTTTGCTTTAAACCGGATATATTTTAAAAGGGTCTGACTTTCTGCCTTTATACTTGTATGTTACTATATTATAAGTGTCTTCCATACATAGTTTGGTCATTTTGATTAACTTGTTTGGTATCTCAAAGTCTTTCATAACATTACATTAAATATTTCTACCTACACTATCATTTGTCGTTACAAGTGATCGCAGAAAATGTCGTCAAACGTAAAAGCGACAAGCATGATTTTGACGACATAAGACAGTCTAGTAACATTTATTCTATTAAAATATAAATCTCTTGCCGTATTAACTAAACGCCAGTGACTTGAAAACAGCTGGGTAATTTTGTCCGACTTAGTACTTGTTAGTTTTTCAGTCCTTTCTTGGGTCTCAGAATTCATTTATGTACTATATTTCTTTGCAGACAGCAAACACGATTTAAATGTCTGTACCTCTTGTCACAGATATTATCGCTGAGCAAGACGACACATTTTTCCGTTTTGTGTTGATCAACTGAAACAACGTATCCCTGAAACTTTTGCTCATGGCCACATAGATAATGAAGTTACAAGACGCGTTAAAACAAAACACTGTTTTGTAAACATGATACACGAAGACCCCTACCGACCGAAAGTTAGGATCTTCTGCAAACACCGGAAACACCATTATCCCCGGCATAAAAGCCGGAAGAGAGATCGGTGCGCAAACAAAAGTGTAGAAAACACATAAACACAGCAAAGTCTTGGTTGTTCGCGAAATTCCTGTGTCACCTTTGGAAATTTGATTTCCATGTGAGCTCGTCATTTTCAGTCGCTTGATAGCGGCAATTTTTATTTTGGCTCCGATTGCGATGCATCCGCTGCCCACGAAAATCACCAGAATGATCATAGAGTTGAAAAACATTTCGATGACTGACGAGACTTCATTCTGAAATACATACATGCTGTTTCTGGTGGAAAACCCGATGGAGGCATTACGTTTACTATCGTAGATGTAAATAAACTGAAACCAGGTTCTGACGTAAGCTTGTAGTCCGTAAAAAATTACGTTTGTGGCGATGACTGCGATTATTGTCCTCCGCCGGGTTACTATGGATGTAAATTTAAGTGGGAAGAATACAGCGATAAGTCTTTCAATGGTGATTAGAACCGGTATACACAGCGATGTTGGACCACTACCCCAGTTCAAACTGTCGAAGAAATGATACAGATAAAACAACGCCATGGCTGTTTCTCTGGGGTATTGAAATCCACCTCCACCCCATTCGTACATGGGTTTCGGAGGTCCGTTAACCCCGATCATAAACACGATATCGGAGACGGCCAGGCTGAAGAGTAAAATGTTAGAGCTTTTCCGCAATCCTTGCTTGGAGATAACGATTAGACTTAGAGCGTTTCCGATGATGCCTAAGATAGAGACCAGTGGGATAACGATGAACACAAGATTCCAGTGGATGAAATCAGTGAAGGAATCGGCGTCCTGATCTTTGTATCTCTGTCGGCTGTTGTAAGTCTTGTCCTTGGGATGAGCATATTTGTTGACAACATTTGGAGCTAGAAATTCTGATTCTGCCGTCAGGTTAAATGTTGAGTCCATCAAGGTTAATGTGATCGGCATTCTATTTCTTTGTCATTTTTGTTAATGTGCATAAAGGTGTGGTGGTATTCGTAAATACAGGCATACCTGTATTATAAAAGTTTATGTTTATGTTCAATTTCCTACGCTAGCGGATCTGTATTTCAAAACAAAGATGTTAAATATAAGGTAATAATTATTTTAGATCCCCCCCCCCCCCCACCTTTTTACCGCTGACTACATTCTAAAAGACTGATTCGAAGTGACTCAGAAGTCATTATTTAGGTGTGAATCTAGCGGCAGCTAATCACTGAAAACCTATTCAACCGTACACAACAGATTTATTTGGCAAACTGTACTGTGGGACTTTTCACAGCCGCTTTTATGTCAGCGTCTGTGGCTTAGGTGTTGCCAACGCGCTTTGTAATGCTGGGGTGCTGGGTTCGATCCCAGCTGCGGTAATTACGCCTTGCGTCGGTTTCGTCAGTGGTATTGAGAAGCCGACCATGACACACTTGAACTGTGTATCACTAACTCGCAGCTACCACTCTTGTCTACCAGGCTTGTGTTTTCAGCACTCTGCTTTAGGGCAGTGAAACTTGGTCAACTTTGTTGCATCAGGAGGAACGGCTAAAAGACTTTCGGCTATCCTCCGACTAACGGTCGGTAAAGATGGCGGCCGCAAAATATCCTTTCGAGCCACAGTCGCGTGACTTAATTTGCAGTTCTCTGGCGGTTTTCCGGCGACTATCGCCACCGCCAGGTGTCTCGCACGCCGCTAACGCGGCGTGGAATAGGGCGAAACTAGATGGCTAGGACCCACTGGCTAGTGCGCAACTGACACGCGACTGTGGCTCGAAAGGATATTTTGCGGCCGCCATCTTTACCGACCATTAGTCGGAGGATAGCCAGACTTTCACATGCGATGCCTAAGATGCTTATCATCAGGTGGCATGACAAGATCACAAATGCCGAGGCATTGGAAAGAGCAGGTATTACAACAGTCTACGAAAGCCCAGGTGGCTGGATCACGGAGGATGGCAGAGTCTCTATGGACATCCTCTATGGTGAATTAATGATGGGTATAAGATGTTAAGACCGACCTCTACTACGATATAAAGCGGGACATGAATGATTCATGTAGAAGTTGACTCGTGTGAACAAAATGGCATGGACCGTGTTGTGCAGAGATGACACATCAGGGAGGGAATGAGAATAAGAGAAGACATTATTTCAGAAAGGATACGAGCTGAGCGTCTGAGAAGAAACACACTAACCACGAATGTTGACAATGGTCCTGAAATCTCATGGTGTAATTGTGAAAGACTTTTCCTAACGCGGGCAGGTCTTGCTAGTCATACTCGACATCGCCATGGCCTGTGAATCCCATGACTCTTCAAAGGACAATATAACACTATCGTCCTGAAAGACGAAAAGTTGTCAATCAATAAATCATGAGTGAATAGATGAACATAAGTTATAATTAGTAGGACACTCATGAACGGATAAATGAACAAAAGAGATATTTAGTATGACACCCATGAACGGATAAATGAATCTAAGAGTATTTAGTATGACACTCATGAACGGATACAAGAACCCAAGAGATATTGAGTAGGACAATCTTGAACGGACAGATGAACCTACGAGATATTTAGTAGGACACTCATGACCAGATAAATGAACCTGTGAGATATTTAGTAGGACACTTATGAGCGGATATATGAACCTATGAGATATTTAGTAGGACACTCATGAGCGGATACATGAACCTATGAGATATTTAGTAGGACACTCGTGACCGGATAAATGAACCTACGAGATATTTAGTAGGACACTCGATGAACTGACATTTCAGTCAAAGTTTATCACTGTTTGCAAATACGTTTCCAGTGGAAGTAAAAACTTCATGAGATAAGAGCCGTGATAGGATGACAATGAGCAGGCTTGCCTGCCAGTCCAGACGTTAGGTGTTTTAATCTTTAAGAAGAACAAAGTTGGCGAAAGGAGGTGCGGGGGGGGGGGGGGGTGGAAGAAATAGGCTAATAAGTGCCTGAGGTATTGTGGACACTGCATCTCTAGGGACCACCAGCTCCGAGCGCCTGTGCCAGCTCATTTTAGGCTAAAACAGGTCACGATTCGTGGTGTCGAACGTGGACGATCGGCATAAGGTTAGGTCAAGCCAGCCAGCATGGAGACTGCTGGGGCACGAAGTGAGGTACGCGGGTGCGATGCTGACACCAAGAAAACATGCAGGGGCCCCACATCTCGCCCATCTGTCCCTCACCCACTGTATAGAGAAAAGGGGACGCTGAATCGTTGTGGGAAAGTATAACAATAATAATGTGCCAGGCAGGGAAATGAATACAAGAATACATCTGAAATAAAACTAAATGTGCAAAAATAATTTTAAAGAGAATGTTTTATAAATTATCATAAAAGGGCCACATCACCTGGGCCGCCTTTATTTCCCGGGACAATACCTGGTACCTTTCCTTCGAAGTCGGAGTTCATCTGCCTGAGAGACAAGGAACTAACAGCCTGCATACAGATAAGTTATACATGTAAAAGCCTATCTGCATGTTCATTTCCTCTTAACCTGGGCACAAAAATTAGACTGACTAATATTAGACAATTTCCTCAGCTAGTCCAACTTTTTGTTCGAATCCATCCTGTCTTGATCATCTTAAGCATGCTCATGGAATCACTTAGAAAGCACGCATGGGGAAAGTTTTGTGTCTTTAGTCACATCATTGCTTTAATTACCGCCATGACCCCCATAGTTAAACTACTTGTTATGCATATTCAACCCTGATGTATGGAGCAGAAACTTAAACATTGATCAAGTAATTAGAAATTCGAATTTGAGTCTCTGGAAATTTGGATATACAGAAGAATTGGTCGTATTTCAGAAAGTGCAGAGAGTGGCCAGAAAGTGCCAGGGAGGTGGAACTTTAGAAATTGATTCAAGATATGGCTTGCTCAGAGGATTTGATTGTTTATACCGATGGTTCAGTGTCAAGAGGCAAAAGACGTCCTTGAGGGTTCTTAGCAAACGTTAATGGTCGACTTTTGGTGCAGGAGAGCCTAGCATATGATACTACAACATCCAGCTTAAGAATGGAGGTGGAGGCTGTCACTGAGATCTTTCTCCTGGTGAGAGAACACGACACACACACACACACACACACACACACACACACACACACACACACACACATCGTGATTGTAAATCACACATAAAACATGATGAGAAAGATGAGGACAAGCGTGCTTTATGCAGAGTGGCATTCTTCGCTTCGGAGATCACGGGTGAGGAGTATTGTCTTTATCTTTTCTCCGGTGTGTTGGGAAATGAACAGACAGACAGACGTGCTGGCTTTGCGCAGTTTGGTGGAATATTGATGCATAATAAAGTAGACGTAGTGATGGCCTTGTTAGACAAAAAAAGTGTACTATTGGGATATGAAAATTGATCACCACAGTCTGGCGAGAGTGATGCAGCGGGGAGTGACGGAGGATATGCCCGATAGTCGACACTTAAAGGTCAGCCAAGTCGGATGTATAATCAGAATACTACTGGCACCACTAGTATTGGAACTCTGCACTGGCTGCTGAAGATAGGGCGGAGTTCTATGATGTCGGTTATTTCATCAATTCAACTACTACTTCATGGATTCAGTAAGAAAAACATATAGAGGTTCTGTGGAGACTGTGGAGGAAATGTGAGTTACTCTAAGGATATATATATATATATATATATAAATATATATATATATATATATATATATATATATATATATATATATATATATATATATATATATATATATATATATATATAAAGGGAAAGAAGTGAAATATTTCAACCAGATTATAGGATATAGCATTATTTTAAAAAATCATGCTGGATTAAAACGTCTAAGGCAAGAGAGTGTACTATCAAGACAAGAGACAGTGCGTTGTGGGGATCAATGGCAGCCAAATTGCATTGTGAAGATAGCACCTGATTTTTTTAAATCACACTATGAATTGTCTGACACTCTATCTGAACAGGCTTGAGGCAGGAGAATTGTGGAAAGGTATACAACTCTTCCAGCATGTTATGATTAGACTGAATGACTGACTTCTTACAACACCAGGACATCACACAAGCGATAAGCGGCTAGTGACACAAGGTGCCACTATGCGGATGAGGATCACATGTGGGGACATCCCGGAAACCCCGTTTAGCTGATAGGCTATATTTAGGGCCCCAGGCGCAGGCCAAGGTGGAGCTTCGAATTAAAAACCTGCATCCCACAAGGGGACGCTTGTATACTATTTGTAATGTTATGATTAGAGCGACTCTCTGCAAAACAGTAACTGTGTAGTGATTACAATGTGGTAAGCCTATAATACAACAAAAGCGCTTGCCCACAAACGACTTTAAAAAAAAAAAATCTGAGAAATTAGAGATATAGTGAATGGAATACAGTCCAATGCCTTATGATATGTTGCCGCCCCCAATATGGGACGCAATTTTTCGTTATTTTAAAAATCAACTATGGCTGTTATCGGGGGCCTAAATATAACCTAACGGTTTAACTGGGTTTCTTTGACTTGTACCAGGATGATTCTCATTCTAATGATGGCATTATGCGTCACTGTGTGTTAATCGCTCTTTCTGCAGTCCTGGTGGGGTTAAACTTCATTCAGTCCAGCGCCTTTGGCCGCTATCTTCAGCGTTTGTCTTATCCTCAATATATGTCTTTCTCTTTTAGGCGTCTGTTTAATCGTTTACGGCCTGTTTTTCTTCAGGATTTGCCCAATATATCACCAATTTTTTGTGTGTGCCTTTCATCTCTTGATACAAGAGTTGGCCCAAACATATTTAAACTTTTTCGTAACATGTAAGGAAGTTAATGTTAATTAATTTCGGTTTGCAGATAATTCATACAGCTGAAAGCCAAACTGGCAAAATATAATCACTCTGAAAGTGAAAATAAAAATTAAGCAACTGTAAGACACATTTAGAACTC